CTCGTCGTAACGAGCTTACGCTGTAATCAAACGCCATTCGTTGTTGTTTGCGCGTTACATTGAGCTGCTTCGAAAAAAAAAGGCGATTTTCACGTTGAAAAAGATTCGAGGGACCTTTACTATCATGCGTGAAAAATGTGATTTCAAAATTCGAAGCAAGTTGATAATACGAAAGGAAATCAAAAAGTAAAGTAAATTTGTTTATTCTTCACGTACAATATACGTTAGCAAAATATATACAACATTATTATTTAATATAATGGCTTTGCAACACATTTTATGTACCGTCCACAAGTTTTCTGATTTTGTCTGCGAAAGTTTCTTGGCTGCCCTTGCCACATATGCACTGCTCCCTAAACTTTAAATCAACTGAAAAATTTGAGAACTTTTGCCATATCCAGCCTATACTGTCGGAGAAAAGAACGTCTTACATCATTAGTTCTTTTTAGAGAGAGAATTTAAGTCCCACGATTACCACCACGGCTTCACGATAAACCAAAATCAGAAAGTCCAGCAAAGAACCGGATCTAACAAATGGCCTAAGGAAACGAATCCCCTCAAGCGCGCAAAGGCCGATTCAAAACAGAATACTGTTAAATTTTTTACTTATTAACCTTAATAAACTCAATCAAATATTTCATCACTTAAATATTAGCACAAATCATAATGCTAGTAATGGAAAAAGAAAGAAAAATTCTAATTTTATTAAAGATAATTTTAATTTCTGTCTACGAGCCTAAAAATTCAAACACATCCCTTAATTAAGTTAAATAACATTTTGTTATTTTTACCTTCCATGTATATATATGTCAAAATGAAAATTAATCCATTTCTGCGGTTGAATTGCTTAATTTCTAAATAAATAACATCCATATTAATGTACGCGCTTAACAGAAAAGCAATTAAATTTTACTCAAATTTAATAGAATTCTTGAGTTAAATTATTCAACTCCATTGTTTTAATTGCACTAACGAAAGTAACGACATATTGAATGGGAGCAGTGACGACTTATAAAAATGATTAAATATAACTCAAGTAGAGTATATTTTACTTTTACAGTATGAATTTAATGGTGCATAATAGAGTATATTTTACCTTTACAGTATGAATTTAATGGTGTATAATGCTATGTAAGGTCTGTTTCCTTTGCTTGTATTTTTTGCACTCAGCTTCTTCACTTTTTCTCTTTTCAACGTTTGAATAGATATATGAGTATTATTTATCTCGATTTAAATACCGAAATTTTTGAAGATTTCAAGCAACGCGAACAAACCTCATATTTTGCAAATCTCATATCTACTTCCAATTTCCATTTGTTTGGAGCGTTCGGACCATTAAAAAGAGCTCTGTGTGACTAATGACAAATTTTAATTATCTTAGAGTTTAGAAAACGGTACATATATGTGGCTTCGAAGGCAGCCAAAAACTTCACAGATGGAATCAAAAGACTTGTGGACCTTCACACAAAATGTACAAAGTAAGACGATTATATTTAGAAATAATGTTGTACATATATTGCTAACGTGTATCGTAACGTGAGGAATAAATAAATCTGCTTTTTACTTTTCAATATACCGTATAATTGAAGAGTTAACAAACGAACCGCGAAAGCTTCACAAGCACGCTTTAGTTTACGTTACATAATTAACATTAATTTAATTTAACTCGGTTATTACTTAATCGACGCGGCAAATTGGATAAACGTTATCACGGATAGCCGCCTGGCGTGTCGTCCATCATTCGTCTAAAAGCTAAATACGATTGTATCATCTGAAATGTTGCTAGATCTGATAAGATTCATGTATTGTATCAAGAGAGATGAGGATATTAATTGTATCTAATAAATAATGTAAACAATAATATTTACATTATTTATTAGATATTATTGATATCCTCGATCCAATGATTGAGGATTCTATGTATATGTACGATGTTTTCAATCACCGAGGAAATCCTCGATATACATTTCAAACAAAACGAAATCATAATAACGGAAAAATTGCCATTAGAAATTACAATTGTATTAATTTTTATAAATGTTTAATAATAAATTCAATTGAAAAACAGAATATTTTAATCTTAAAGAAACGACTGCATTAATTCGTTTTGTTTCTTGTGAGATAGTTCTCATAAATTGTTCCTACCTTTTATTATGGATCAATTAGCTTGTAATTTAGTTGTTACTAATTGCTTTATACTCCTTAGTTATACAATAATTATCCCGCAAGAAGATTCATGGAATAATTAATGATTCATCGCGAAAATTTAGAAAATACTCAGTTTACAGTAAAAATCTTTTGTGTTTACAGTAAAAAATCACTATAAACAGAACTGTATATATGACAATCTTATCATCAGTATCAGGCTGCTCCTCGCCCTGATGAAGTGGACTGCAAGGTTCACGAAACGTTGGCATTCCAAGAATGGATTTGAACACGGAGAAAACCCGCGAAACACAAGATTGTCATATAGGAAACACCCGTGAAAGCCTCAAGAATAGAACTGTATATACATTAACGAACCATTTCGGCCATCAAGCGGTAAAAAAATTAATTACACGCATTATTAATCACAAAAATATTTTCAATCGCAAAAAAATATTTCAACCAGGATTCGAATCCAGAGTTCAAGATTAGAGTTAATCTTTTATGATGGAATCGGACCTAATTCTTAGAATTAGAATAGGTAAAGAATAAATTGAATCGAGATTAAAGTTTATCTTACATTGATAGAATCAGGTCTCTGTCCATTTCTCTACCAATGTAGTTTAAATTTAATCTCAATTCAAATAACTCTTCATCTTTTTCTAATTCAAAGAATCGGAAAAAGATGGAGAGTAAGTTGGACCGAGATTAAAGTTAATCTACATTAGTATGGGCATAAATAATCACACACATGTCGTGTTGTTTTTTGCATGACACGAGATGCTAGAAGAATGTTGCCTCGCGGGAAAGATTAACGTCAAAACGAGCACATAAACGTAAATCTCGTTAAACGTCACAATGCACAAATTGTCTGTGAACAAATTGTATGCGATTCTTCATGAAAGTATTTAAGTCGGTCGCCGTTATGTTGCCAGTACCGTGGGCAAGACGAGCGAACGAGAATACCAACTAAAATATTCTTTAACCAAATCAGACCAAATTTAATTAGGGAATTGAAGAGCAAAAAGAGAAAAACTGAGATACTACTCCATAACGTCGAGCGACGTCGCGCATCGGTGAAATCAAGCGACCTTTGGACCACTTTCGCGATTTCGTTGACTCTCCCCCCATAGAGATCCTGTATCAGAGTCTGGCCACAAATAATTTTGTCAAAATCCTACGACAGAGAAAAGTATATATAATTTTTTCCTGATATGTACTACCTCACTCTAACTTACACTATGTCTCACTCTATAATCTTAATTAAAGTTATAGAGTGAAACAGTGTAAGTTAGAATGATCATTCTAACTTACACTGTTTCACTCTATAACTTTAATTACTATCTCGAGATAGTAATTTCTCTCTATAGTATATATAGGTATATACAATATACTATAGAGAGAAATTATATAGGTATATCCTTCTCTCACGTAGGATTTTGACAAAACCGCTCGTGGCCAAACTCGGATATAGAGTTTTCACCTATGAACAGTTTTGTCAAAGCAAAAGTGAATACTCTCTCACTTTATATACCCTTTTGAATATTGGGTAATTCTGGTATTTACGCCGCAAAAGTCAGAAAAAATAGGAGTGGGGATAATGTGCACGCAACAATTCTATTATATGCTTTTATGTTACATTAATATTGTGTTATGATTTCAGTTTCCTACTGATAATATTAATAAAATTACTGTCAGTTGAATCGATTTGTCAATGTAGTGAATAGCGCAATCATATATCATAATCCACATAAAATGATTATTGTAGAGATTGCAAAAGATTTAATGGTTGTTTGGTGATACATAAGTGTAAAGGGATAGTAAAAAATAGAGTATAGTAAAATACAAGTGCTTATAGCTCTTATATTCTTTGTTCAACTTGATGTCTTGTATATTTCACCTGTTTAGGGGAGGAGAGGGGATATATGGCATTTTTAGCGGATGGCATTTATTGCTCAAAGTATACAAAGTGCGCAGATTGGATTCAGCGCACTAAATGCAATAAATGCATTATCTGAAATATGTACCTCATGTCATAATATTTGTAATATATGTAAAAGATTATAATTATTATCTATTACTTCATATACATATTTATATTATTCTTTATTCCTTAATAAAACTTTAAAAATACACTTTATAAGTTATTGTGTCATTTTACGACTTATTTATAAGCATTATTGTAAATTTTTCATATGCCGTACATCCCACCCCTCCTCCTCCCATGAGTAGCCACCCTATGGGATATACAGTAAAAATGCAAGGGTTTCAAAGTTCTTTTTTTAATATGAAAAATAAGTATTTCGGATTTCTAATTTTTTTTCGTTGTAAATAATGTTTAATAAATTAGTTTTTGTTAGGTGTGGCGTATATACCGGAATTACCTTATTTATATATACATGTATATTATATGTATAGTATTAGCTTTTTCAACAAGAGACAAATAACAGTGTAACACAGCGAATCATTACATCCTTATTGTTTGCCACATTAAACAAAGATGAAATAATTACTGTCATATTATCTCTTACTGAAAAGCACCCCAATATTGTCTCTTTTGATATACTTTAAAACTTGTAGAGTGGATTGTCACTCTGAAGAGTAAAATCTCACTCTTAAAGGTTGAAAATTGAACCACCCTTTTTCAAGACCAGTTTAATTTTCACTCTTTAAAATGAGATTCCACTCCAAAGAGTTTGGAGAGTAAACTACCTCATTCTAACTTGCTGAAGTTGTCAAAAATAACAGACAAATGAAAAATTTGTCATCTGAATAATCTCGTGACCGGATTCTATTACAAGGTCTCTACCCCCTCAGGTCGTATCGTAACGGCGGAGAGACGTGAAGGTACTCACCAGCAGCAACAGCAGCAGCGGCAGCTCAGTCTCGCATCCTCCCAGCAGCCGAAATGCTCCTTTTCTTCTTCTTCTTCTTCCTCGCCTCCTCCTCCACCTCCCTCCTCGTCCACGTCCTCCTCCAGGGCCGCCCGTTCGTCGGGACGTCGAACAGCCGGCGGTGGTCGTGGCGGATTGCACCGGGGATCGCGGCGCACTTCCCGAAATTCTCCCGCGGTCCCGTCGCGCGTAACTCCGACTCCACTCACGCTGGTCACGCGGAGTCAGCGCGGGGAGTAAAGCGGCGCGGTGCGGCGCGACGCATCTCGCCGGGACGCGTTTTTGTTTCACCCGTAACCCGTAACTCAAAGGATCTTTCGCCTTCGCAGACGACGACGAAGATCGCACACTCTCTCTCCCCCTCTCGCTAATAGCGAGATGTTACCGGTTCGAGACGGGATACTCGGAGCATAACGAGTTTTCGGCTCGCCCCGCTGAGTGGAAAGGGATGAAGGACAGACAGGAGTGAGGGAGGGAGGGAGAGAAAGAGAGTAAGAGAGATGCACGCGGGAGTACGTATGCGTTATGTGTGTGTATTGCGTCTGTCGTCGAGAAAGCAGCGACGAACGAGAACGCGGCGCGATGAACGAGAGAGAAGAGACTGATACTGATAATTCAACGTCCTTCAGTCAGACGAAAGTGGCTACGATTCGCAACGTCACGTCCGTCGGGGAGACAGAAAAAGAGAGAGGGAGACAGAGCGTTGGGAGGAAAGGGTTACGCGCGCGCGCGCTGCGAGAGCAACTTCCTCGCGATAACGAACGCGCCGCTCGAATGTCAGCATCCGACTGAAGTGCGGCACGAAACGCGGATGGACGGGGTGAAGTGAACCGGGAACCGGGTGAATAGTGAATACAGCCCCGCGGCAGCGCTACTGGCGTCACGCGACGACAGCCGAGTGTACTACTGCGATACGCGTCGGTAATAGCGAAAACGCCTAAGGGATTGACTTATTTCGCTGCTAAGAATAATATATACATATATGATATAGAAATAAAGAGGAAATAAAGACCCTAAACAGTCAAGCTGGATCTTCAGTGCTTAAATAATTTCATGTAAATTTATATACTGCATATCTAGAGTTGGTGAAAGATAATGTTTTTTTCTAAAAGAACAAGTTTTTAACATGATTTTAATGCTTCGTACATACTTCAAACAATATTATTAAAAAACATGTGTAAACATGTTAAAAACATCGATCAAGCATGTTTCAAACAGATTAAAATAAGATTTTTATTAATCCTGATATCCAATCCTGCAAACTGTGCTCCGAATTTAATTTTCAGTCTTGAAATGCAATTCTAAAACAGAATTAGAGTAATAATGTTACAAATTAAATTGACAAGTAATTTAATATTATTAATGCTCACAGGCATCTTAGATCTTAATTGTTTAAGATTTTTATTTTCTATTTGCTGTATATTGACATTACAGCCTTAAAAGATACTATGAAACATGCGAAAAACTATTCGGAATCTTAAATAGTCCTTACATTGGGAAAATCTATTTTCTTAAAAATTCTCTTCACATAGTTTTTCAGAATTTCTATAAATTTTAGAATGTTTCATATTTTTTGTATAATTTCATCACGTTTTTTTTAGAAAATATGTCAAATTTTTTTTATTAAATAAATTGGAACATTTTACAGAAATTTATAAGAAAGTCAATATTTTTTTTTTAAATTTTTTATACAGTAGAACATCGATTACTGCTGCTCCATTATACAAACAATTGCATACTAAATATTCGAATTTATAGTGAAATTCTTATTAATTATTGGAATTACTGCACTAGAATTCGGATAATAAGAGTTCAAATTTAGTTTTTTGAACGTCAATTTCTATTATCGAAACTAATAAATACTAGTAAAAAGGGGAGAGTTAGTGAATCTCTATTATTCGAACTATTCTTGAAACTATCTTTGTTCCCCACGTAAAGAAATACTACTGCACTACTGCACTATTGCGCACTATACTGCATTACTGCACCACTATATTACTGCTGATGTAATAGTGCAATAGTACGCAGTACCAAAGACATAGAGAATGGACTTGCGCGATCCGTGTCAAAATGATCGACAGGGATGAGAGAGAGGGACCGTGGCAGACGGCCATTTCTATCTCTTTCCATTCAATGGTGTAATGGGAGAGAGAATGAGAGGGAGATTGGACGTCTCCCACAGTCCCTCTCTCTCATTATTGTCGACCACATTTGATACATTTCTTATTGTTAGATACGGATCGCGGAGTCCATTCTCTATGTCTTTGCGTATCTCAAAATACTATTAGTAGCGTAGTAGTATTTTCTACAAGGGCGATGTGTTCGCTCTTGTAGAAAATAAACGGGATTTTACTCTATATATTAATTTTGAAATATTCTAAGATTCTTCGTTCTATAATTTTCGAAGAGAACTTATTATAAAATTTCAAAAAAACCCCTACAGCACAAAAGTTGCAGCAACAATGCTGCAACATTGCAGTAATATTGCATGTTGCAGCAATATTGCAGCGTTATTGCGACGATATTGCTGCAAATTCTGTGCTGTATGGGAAGCGTTTAAGATATTTTTTTTGACCTCCTAAAATTTAAAATATAAAAATATTTAAAAATATTCTAAATAAGAATTCTTTTCATCACGAGTGTGTTCACGCGTTCATTCGCATAAAAAATTATAATCGCAATAGCGCAAGAATGTGTAGATACATTTTATCTTATAATTATCGACGCTTGGAAAGGAACATCATTGATCGTATCATATAATATAAATTTTTATAAACGCTTCGAAAATGTTTAATATTGATTAAAATAAAAAAAAAACACCGTCTAATCTCTACACATCAGCTGAAATATTAAATTAAAATTTTCCGCAGTGAAGAAACACTTTTTTTCAAATTATGAATAAATAAATCTCCATCTCTTGTACTTTCTGCACCTCGGATCAGACGCATGCACATATCTAAACTTTCGAGAAAAGGAGGAAAGCGTCAATAAAAATAATAAATAAGGCTGAGTCATCAAGTGAATAAATCCGTGCAAAATCCAAGATGTACGTATCGTCGCTTGCAAATTCTTTGCAGTGCTTTTGCGTCGAGAAACGAATAAAAACATCGGGCTCCGGAAGGAATAGTAAGCCTGTCGCGTTGCTTGCACTTTTTGCACTAAGCATCTTCACTTTCTTTCTCTTCAATATCCAAATATATATATTTATAACTATATTTATTATCTATTCTATATATATAAATATATATTATTTCAAGTACAAAAATTTTGGGGATTTCAAACAATGTGTACAGACTAATGTGGAACGGAGAGAATGCACGGAGTTGCAGCCGAATCTGGGCGAACCTCGTGACATAGTTGGTGCGTTCGGGGAAACGCTATTAGCGCTACTCTGTTAATCTTCGTTGTTTAGACGTAAAACAAGGATAGAATGAGACATAGCGCTAATAGCGCCTCTCCGAACGCACCTATAGCGTGCCGCGACGCCGCGTACTCGGCGTACTGCGCCTACACGATGCGCCTGGTACGAGCCGCAATACGGCTCTGCCGTTCGTTTACTCTCTCGCTTTCGACGCGTTCGGCCGATTCGTTAGTAGGCCACGAGCGTCGTTGGCCG